CGGGCGACTCACGGCAGCCCAGCTCCAGGTTGAGCTGTTGTTCAGCATCTTAGCTGTAGAGGGCAGTGTCACTGGCCCTCATAGGTGGGATCCGAACTGGGGCCCTCTGGTGTCCCAGGCCAGCTCTTAACCAACGAGCCACTCGGCCAGCCTAATACAGCACTTTTTGAATCCATGAATGATGCTGTTGCTGGAAATATTATTCCAAGTCATGAGAATGGTGGTTTTTCATGTAAGTGATGGGTTAATATTTGTGATCTCCTTAGGGTAGCACAGAATTATACAAAATAGCAGTCTCCAGGTCTTTCCTCATTCTCTCTCCCTGCTTAATTTTTCTTCACAGTACTTCTTACCATCTGATATACTTGGTCACTTATTTATTGTCTGTCTCCCCTCACTAGAATGTGAGCTCCGTGAGGTCAGGGAATTTTGTCCATCTTCCTGTTTTATGTCCATCACCTGGAAACATGCCTGGAACATAGCAGGTGCTCAATAAATATTTGTGGCATACATGAATAACTGTAAAGCTTTTATAAATGTTTGATAGCCCAGTAGCAGCCAGGGCCATGCATGAAAAGGCAATGGAGTGGGGTGGGAAGGTAGCCTTACAGAAGCTGAGCCCAGGTCAGGAAGGCATCTAAGTCAGGGGGAGCCTGGTTGTTTTGGGAGATTAGCTACACAGGGGGATTTAACAAATTATTAAATATATTGAAGACATTTGGGGAAATGGCATAAAATATGTGAAGGGGGAAAGCTGGGATAAAGCCTATGCCATTGGACTGGAATTTAAGCTCTAAATGCAAACATTTTTTTCCATATATGTAAATTGTATTAGTTAGGGTTTTCCAGAGAACCAGAACCAATAGAATATATATATATATAGAAAGAGATTTATTATGAGGAATTGACTCACAGATTATGGAGGCTGAGAAGTCCCACAACCTTCTGTCTGTAAGCTGGAGCCTTGGAAAGCCAGTAGTGTAGTTCCAGTCCGAGTGTGAAAGCCTGAGAACCAGGAACATCGACGATGTAAGTACCAGTAAGAGGGCAGAAGACTGGTATCCCAGCGCAAGAAGTCAGGAAGAGAAAGAATTCAACCTTTCCTCTGCCTTTAGTTCTATTCAAGCCCTCAACAGATTGGATGAGGCCCACCCACAATGGGGAGGGCCATCTGCTTTACTCAACCCACCAAGTCAAATGCTAATCTCACCCTCACAGACATGCCCAGAAATAATGTTTAACCAGAAATAATTTTTAACCAGTCAAGCTGACACATAAAATTAACCATCACACAGATAAACAGATGTAAATGTGTGTTTATGTGTGTGTATAAATCTATGTCTATTGAGTGGGCCTGGAAGTAGAGATTACCTTAATGGCAACAAGCACACCTACCACCCAGTATTTGGTTTCAAAATACTAGTCCCACCAAAAAGAACCAGGTATTCTTCCAGAAACGGCTAATTCTAGGGCTGGTGCAGGGAAAAACAAGATGAGCCTGGAACATCTTATTGAGCCAGAAAGAAAGGCAGTGTTCAAAAAACGATGGCACATATCCAAACAGCAAGAGGTCAGCAAGGGGCACCTATTGACCAAACCCAGGACAATTTGAGCATTGAAATAAATGATAGGAATGGGTTATAATGCATGGAATAAAATAGGAAACCACGATCCCATATGATATAAATAAATAAATAGGGGTGAATAAAAGTTCTTTACAATAGGATATCAACAAACAATTGTAGAAGAAATTAGAAAATCATCATTTGTGAACTATTGTGGTAATAATTAATTTGGGTAAAAACATTAACGGATGCTGAAACCTATGGGTGAAAGTGGGATGAAGAAAAGGCTGTTTCAACGTCTCAAAGTACCTCCCTTCTCCCATACTTATTGAGCATGATCAAGTGATCAACATTAACACTACCAGTCATAGTTGCAAATGATATTGGATATGAGAATACAGCATCATTTCTATATTTCCTCCCAAAATGTGTAACAGTGGTCTAAATCATGAGGAAAGATTGGACAAATGCAAATTGAAGGGTGGCCTACAAAATAACTTCCCTGTAATCTTCAAAAATGTCAAGGTCATGGGCAGGCTGAGTGGCTCAGTTGGTTAAGAGCTCGCTCAAGAGTTTGAGCTCTGAGCAACAGCGTTTGAGTCCCGGCCCGAGCTGAGCTGCCGCTGAGCTGCCAACAGGTGGCAGAATGGCTCAGGTAAAAAAAAAAAAAATGTCAAGGTCATGAAACTCAGAAAGTCTGCAAATAATGTTCCATTCTAGGTTGAGGAAGACTAGAGAGATGTGACAACTGTGTACATTGCTTGATACCATATTACATTTTCTTTAACCATAAAAGGATATTTTGGGGGACACTGAGAGCAGTTTGAAATTGTTTCCAAAGAAAAAGTTAAAAAAAAAAAAAAAAGCCTGGCAACAATGTTAGCCCTTCGCCTGGCTGACTGACTCCTGCCAGCCGCAGGATTCATTTTGGATAAGTTCCTGTGGAACCCCCTTTGACTGACTGGGGGCGAGGGGCCCCTTTGAGGGGCGAGGGGCTCCCATTGCCCCTGGACTCTGACATCCTTTTCTATCTATGCTTCACGCCTGCTAGCCCTGGAGGTCCCTGAGAGCAGGGGTCCTGTCTGGATCATGGCACAAAGCAGCCTCTCGAAACACTGAATGAATTGTCTCAATGAAAGGGGTGTATTTGGGAATACAGCTCAACCCCACCTCTTCACCTGAGGTTCAACTAAAGAAATTGTCATGTTCGGCTGTTGGAGGTGTACCTGGTTGAGTGGGACCCACAAACAACAAGGAGTCATGTCTGAAGGGGCTTTCCTCGGGGATGTTGGAGGAAATATTTAGGGCCTAATCCCCAAGATGTAACCTAGCTGAAGAGGCTTCTCAATAGGGGAAATTCCCTTTTATATCTTTGATGTCACTGATATGCTCAATGATCACGTTGAGAGAGGTGTGGGACACCGAGACCCCGTCCATAGCACTGCAGACCCACAACGCTCAAGGATTAGAATGGTGGAAATATTGGAGGAATGAGTAATATTGCTAGGGAAGATGGACATTCGAGATGTTAGGAGGGATTTACCAGGAATAGTTAAACTTTTTCCTTCTATTTTCTGCTGAGGTGAGGTGATAGTTATATGTGTGGATAATGCCATTCAAGGTACCAAGGTGCCAACCCTTCAGGTTGGGGGGCTAGGGCACCTATATGTCTCTCAGCTTTGGAGCAGCCCTTGCTGCCCTTTCTCTTCTCCTGATGTGGGTAGAGCGCCCCCTTGGGGTGAGAAACACATGAGAGGCTCTGGGCCTGGCTGGAGGGTTCCAGGATCTAGGAGGGGAGGCCGAGGCCTGGCCTGCCTATCTGGGGCGGGGCTTGACAGGAGTGCCTTGCCAGGAAGGGAGGGCAAAGGGCCATGTCCCACACTTGCCCCACCCGGCTGACAAGAGTCCCTGTCACCAGGCCACCCTTTCCGTCTGAGGTTCTCGAGGGGTAAGTGTTCTGAATCCACCTTGTCTCCTTCCTGGAGATCAGGTGAGAATTCTTTTCCTCCTTGGGGGTCCAAACACTGCCCCCTATGCTTACCCTTAGGCCAGGCGGGGGCCACACTTGCCACCCCCTCAGCATGGTACACGTCTCTCCCTGCTCTATTTTCAGAAGTTCATGAAACTGGGGCACTGGGTGGCAGGTATGGTACGTCTCAGACCCTTCCCCTTCTGACATCAGCATCAGGGCCAAGACCAGAGTGGAAGGGCCCAGAGTGGGGCACCTCCTCCAGGGAAGCCCCAGATCACTGTCCCCTCCTCTGTCACCCTACAACAGAGCCCAGGATCCCAAGTGATTGGAGCACTGGGGGACACCCAGACAGAGCCCTCGCTGGATCAAGTGCTCCAGGAGCGGGATGAAGCTATTGCTAAGTGAGAGGCAATTGCTTGTGGGGGTTGGGGAGGCAGTGGGTGGCTTACCCTCAGGACTCTGTGCTGCTATAGGAGGGGAGGGGGGAGTCAGGCATTGCTGGTGGAAAAGCCATATAAACACCCACCCCATCATAAGGCAGGAGCTATGGCCACACTTACCCACCCCCAAGGCCCAGCATCAGCTCTGCAGGGCCCAGGCCTCAGGCTGTCCTCCCTGCCACCTGCAGGAAGCGGGCAGTGGAGGCTGAGCTGGAAACATGCAAAGCCAAGTTACGAGCTGTGGAGGCCCAGCTGCTGGAGGTCCTGGAGGAGAAACTGAGACTGAAGAAGGAGGTGGAGGCCTGGGAGGTAGAGTGGGAATGCCAGCCGGGCCTGGGAGGCACAGGGAGATGGACAAAGGGTTTGCCCCTAAACCTCCTCTCCTGCCCCCAGGAGGACATGCAGCAGCTTGTGTGGCAGCGGGTCGAGAGTCAGCTGCAGAGAGAGTCCAGGAGCACTTTGGGAGCCCCCATGGAACCTGGAGCTGCCAGGGCCCCCTGGGTCCGATTCCCCCTGGGTCGATGGGGGCGTTGGCGGTGAGACAGCTCAACCCAGGACCTTGAGAGCAGTGTCTTTATTTATTAAAGCTTGTGGTCTGACCACCTTTACACACTCATGCCCTCTCAGTGCCTGCCTGAGTCCTTCTGTGCAGAAACATGGAGCAGGCCACAGGGTCTTGAAGCCTGGGGTTTCAAACATGCCCCTTCTGGCCAGCAACTCAGGTCAGAAAGCCTCGGATGGCAGCCATGAAGTCCTGCGGGCGGTCGGCGTGGATCCAGTGGCCAGCGTTAGGCACAGTCTGCATCTGGGCCCGAGGGAAGAGTCGTCTAATCTCGGGGTAGTGGCTGGGACTGTCCGTCAAAGAGAAGGCCACCAGGAAGGGATGAAAGTGAGGAGATGGGGAGAGAAAGAGAGAAGTGGAGGCAGAGCCAAGAGAGATGGAGAGCTGTGTGAGCTCACATGCCCCATGGTGTTTCTGAGCTCTCAGGAGTCCCCTGCCCAAACACAAGCCCTCCCTGAGGTAGGGACCCCAGGCTGATGGCTGGATAAGTAAGGCATGCCCTGCCTGCCACCCAGCCTGGCTTACTGTACGAATTCAGAGTTTCCACCAAGGAGGAAGAGGGTAGGCCCACGGTAGGATTCTTGGCATAATGGGAAGGCCAAGATCTTGTCCACGTGCTGGGCCAAGGCATCCAGGTTCACCCTCCAAACAAAGCGGTCACCTGCCTCCACCAGGTTGGTGAGCAGGAACTGCCGGACGGCAATGTCCTGTAGGGAGTGCAGTTGGGGGAGCTCCCTGTGACACCTGAGGCCACTCCTCTTCCCTGACAGGTCCCAACCAGTACCATCTGGGGGCTTGGGGGAATCACCTGGATAACAAGGCTGAGCTGTTCATTGGCTAGTTTGCGGGCACAGGAGCGGGACACCTCAACTGGGATGTCTATGGCCTTCATGGCTGCCATGTAGGTTGGAAAGTCCGAGCTGGATGTGGTCTCCACTGGGCTGATGTCCACAGCAATCAGACGTTCCACCAGCTCTGGCTGTGGGAGAGAACCAAACTGAGGACTTAGCCTTAGGGCAGGTACAGTGGGTCGCAGACACAGTTCCCGGATCCCGAACTTGGCCATCCAAGGCTCCTTTGAGTCCCAGGTTGCCTTCTGGGCACTCAGAGTCCACAGTGGATGAGAGGAAGCCCTGGATGGGGACAACTCACCCTCTGTAGTGCCAGCAGCATGGCTGTCTTGCCTCCCATGCTGTGGCCAATGAGGACACAGGGAACTAGGCCCAGCTGGGGCAGGAGGTCCTGCAGGTCCTGGCTCATGGCTTCATAGCTCATGTCTGGGCTGTGGGGGCTGTCACCATGGTTCCGAGCATCCACTGTCAGCACCTGGGGAGTTGGGGAGAGGGGCAGCACTGGCATCCAAATTCCGGATGTAGGCAGGCCTGGAAGGCGGGCAAGTTGATGGGGTAGAGAGCCTGGGGAGAGATCCTGAAGCGGAAGAAGGGCTCAGATGGTGAGAGGGCTCAGTTCCCTAGGAAACACAGAAGAACCTGGGGCTACTCTGCCACAGAAGGGAAGGCCCAAGGAGTGTGACCACATTTCTGAAGGTCTGGCCCGGTTGGGTGGCAACCCCACAGAAGGCCGACGTCAAGAATTCCCAACAGTTGAAGCACAGAAGCATGGGCTGCTGTACGAGGTGGTAAGCCCCCTGTCATCCCTGGTGAGCAAACAGGGGCTGGCCCCCTTAGCAGGGAGGGTGTTGGCACTTAGGCATTGGACAGACGGGCCTAGCTCAGTGTGGAGCATGCACTGGACGGAACGGAGATAGACTGGATGGAACGAAGCACAAGGGAATGAATGGGGTCCATCTAGGGCCTGGGTCTGTCCCGCGGGCTCCATTCTTAGGTCAACCGCTCCTTCCATTTCTGCAGATTATCTGTCAATGCTCAACAGAGGCCCAGCACTGAGTGCAGGAAGCTGGCTAGCCTCGCCCTCATTCCTGGTCCCTCCCCCCAGGCCCCGCCTCCCGCGGAACCCCGCCTCTCCCGGAAGCTCACCCTCCGGCCTGTCTGCTGGGCCAGAGCTTTGGCGATAGAATTAAAGTTGGTTTTGCAGCCGAAGAGCCCGTGCAGAAAGACGAGGGCCGGCAGGGCCGCCTCCCCGTCCAGAAGCTTGTAGGAAAGCGGCACCGGCCTGAAGGGAGGAGCAAGGATGGGGGTAGATTCTGAGCCGGATGGTGAAGGGGTGTGGGGGGAGCGGCCCGAGAGGGGGAGGGCCCACGCGGGGAAGGTGGGGCCATCGGGGCCGGATGGAGTGGGAGGGTTAAAGGACGGCCTCCCACCGGTCGCCCTTGACTGACCTCGGCTCGGCACCGCCTTGGCCGCTGCTGCTGGGTGTGACATGAACCCTGGAGATGCTGGTTCTGAAAAGGCTGAGCCCCCTATAGGGGAGTCTCCTGGCGGAGGCCCAACGGAGCATGCCCGGGGGCCACTACCCAGCATGTACCTCGCAAGCAAGTCCTGTACCTTAGCTCCGCCTCCCGCCTTTGCTCAGAGCCCCGTCCAGTTCTGACTGGTGCCCCGCCTCTTCCCCGCCCCCTATCGAAAATTCCCCCCCGCCCCGCCTTTGCTCACAATTTCTTACATAATCTCAGAGAACAGTCAGTCCCCCTTCAGCTCCGCCTTTTGCGCCGCTACGTTATCTCCTCGGGCACCGTGACTGCGGGCGGGAGTACCGGCCCTGGCCCCGCCCCCGCGAAGCACCGCTCAGCCCCTCCTAGCTCAGAATCATTGTAGGTGCGGGTAGGGCCCTGCTGTCTGGGAATCCGGTCCCAGCCTCTCAGGGCGTCTTGAGTTTTGGCGCGAGCTCTGAGCAGTCACGGAGAAGGTTTTTGGCAAGCCAAAGAGGCTCTACCTTGGCCCGCGCCCGTCTATTTCTCTGCCCTGGTCTATTTCTCCGCTCTCACGCACCGTCCTGGGTGGGTGCCATACTTTCTGTCCTGCAGGCGGGCCGGGTGAAGAGGCGCGCAGTGCTCCAGAACGGAGGCCCAGACAGGCCAGGTGGAGCATCTCTTACCTATCCTGAGGTCGTGGACTCTAGAAAGAGCTGGGAGGGACTCTAGAGGTTATCTTCAATCATCCCACATCCCTGCCCTTTACAGTGGGGAAACTGAGGCAAACCAGAACCTCTGGTCTGCCATTCATGATGCAGTCAAGATGGGAGGCCAAGGTCAAACCCTGGCCAGGTGTTTTTGTACTGGTGGGGGCATCTGAGCTGAAATGAAATAGCTCAGATCTACTCTCTCCTCCTCACCCCCGACCCCCCATTTACCAATAGAGAAATACACTACCCTCCTCCTCTTAGAAATCACATCCTGAAGAGAGATCACCTTCCTTTAGAACCCTGACCCGCTACCATCTTTCCCCAGTCTGGGATGGTGGTGGTGGTGGTATTATCTCAGGTCTCATCTGACTTCCACTGCATTCCATTCTTCAGCAGTCCTAAGAGTACCTGCTCTTTCTACAGCATTCTGCTCAGAAATGTTCAGGGACTCCCCATCCCTAAAGTTGGGAGTTGAAACTTCATCACCGAATCCCAGGCCTCCCCCAGTCTGTTCCTACCTACATTTCCGCCCATGCTCCCCATTCTCTTATTCCGCAATGAGGCACCCAGAGAACTACATTACACACCTCCCTTTAGGTTTTACCACTCCCCTCCCCCATACTCCCACTGCTGGGATGCTGTGTCTGCCTTCCAGATAGCCAGTTGCCTGAGTCCAGGATAACTGCCACCTCCTCCTCAAGCCTTCCCAGATTTCCCCAGTTGAAACTAATCTCTTCCATGTTCTCAAAGCATTTGTCAAGTCTACTATACAGTAGTATAGAACTGACCTTTTCTGTGTCCACCATAGACTGAGGGCTCCTAGAGGACCAGAGCCATGTTTTGTTCATCTGGTGCAAAGTGCAATAGTAATTTTACTGAATAATCATAGAAAGGTTCAGGGCACTGAGGCTTAGGTGAATGTTCAGCTCATGGCTGGGTCTGTGCCCCCTCTAGGTGACGACACCTGGGTTAGCCAGGGTTACACCCTCCACCCCCCACCCACTCCGTCTTTAGGGCAGGCTGGATGGAGTCCCAACCAGTAGGAGGCATGCTAACTCTAAGGTCTAATAAATGCCTTCCTTGCTTAATGAAATGGCCCCCATCAGCCTGGGTCCTGGTAGGTGTTTTATCTAATCTGAGGAGGGCGTTGAAGTCACTGGGGACTCTACACACACCAGGTGGTGTGATCATTTGTTGTCAGCATAGTCATTAGGGAAGTGATAAGGACACCTGAGCCCTGGATGGGGGCTCATCCAAGGCCTGGGTGGGGTCCTCGGAGAGTTGATCAAGCGAAGTGTTTTCTCTAGAGTTGGTGGAAGGGGGTTCACGTAATATTGGTGATTCAGAAAGGTAGTATTTCAAACCAGTCCCCACTCCAGTCTGCTGTCTAGCCCAGCGGTTCTCAACCTGTGGGTCGCGACCCCTTTGGGGGTAGAACGACCCTTATACAGGGGTCGCCTAAGACCATCGGAAAACAAAAAGATATTTACATTACGATTCATGACAGTAGCAAAATTACAGTTATAGAGTAGCAACGAAAAT